TATCTATCTATCTATCTATCTATCTATCTATCTATCTATCTATCTATCTATCTAATTTGTATGCCGCCCATCTCCCCCAACAGGTGACTCTGGGTGGCTCACAATTAAAACCAAGAACCCATGAACAATTAAAATAATACCATATAAACAATTAAAATTAATTAATCAATTAAAATCAGACTATAAAAACAAACCCTATACATAAATTATTGGAAAATAGAGGCTCTTACACTTTTAGGAAAAGAAAAATGGACAAATCTGTGCACAGAGCACAGTTGCCCAGTTATAGGGCATCAGATCAGCAACTCTTTTTAGCATGAACTGGTCTTTAAATCTGTTTACTTTGTTTTGTTCAGCAAAGTCCATGAAGGCAGAAATAAGAGCCAGTGTGATCTTGGACAAGGGTTAGGGAAACCCAGGTTCTAGTCCACCTTCAGCTACAGAAACTCACAGGGTCATTTTAGCCAATCACACCACACAGGTAGTTTTGTAGGGAAAAATAGGAGAAGCTCCAGACTGAAAGCAAGATATAAAGCAATGAAATAAATACAAGTAAATAAATCAACAAATAAACAGTCTCAGATATGCATTCAGTGATTAGATTTTCTCACCATGGTTCACGCAACTTGGTCTCAAACAATTGAGTGCTGACTGGGAATTCCACAACACTGACATTAGAAAAAAAAATATATATTTTCTTTTAAATGGTAGCATTTTCCAGGTTTAATACAGCAAAATGATTCTTCCAGTACTTCAAAGATCAGCCATTTAATCAGCAACATTCATCTGCACAAGAGTCCATTTCTGTGGCTCCACATCACAAAAGCATAAACATAAAAGACAAGATACTTTTATCATTTTTGGTTTTTAAATTACTCTTTGGTGTTGCAATAAATTAGAATGAGCCTTTGAAAGCAGAAGTGTCCAGTCACCTTCTCTAGAGGTGAGAGAAAGAAACAGTCTTGATTAACTTTAGGAGCTCATCATCACTTTCATCTGATGAAAGGGACTGTGATTCAGAAAGCATTTGAGATAATAAATAGGTTAATCCCTAAAATACCAGAAAACTCTTTGTTGCTTTTACTACAAAAGGGGAACACACTGACTCCTTTAGAAAGAAATATGTTAAGGTTAGACTTTTAAGTTTGGAACCCACCCTGAAATGAATACACACGCACACACGCACACACACATATGCATACTAAGAGTGCATGTAAAGCTAGATAGGCTTGGAATAAAAATTAATGAAATAAAATGAATAAAGCCCCCCCCCCCCGCCCCGGGCAGGGCTTTTATCACATCAGCTCTCCTCTCCCCTGAGATTAAAAAGATCAGAACGAACTAAGCTGCTTCAATTACCACTCAAATCTGAGTTTTCCGATTCTCGCAATCAGGGATCAAAACCGAAAGGATCCACCCGATAATCAGAATGAGGTGGAGGAGGAGGGGCGGCAGAAGGGCACCCATCGGAGATCTGGCTCTTTTCAAGCATCTGTGAAAGATTCACGTTGCTCGCATCCCGCTTGGGGGTGATGTATGGGAAGCCGAAGGATAATTAATTGCTGGTTCTCGCCACCCCTTCCTCGGGGTGGGATGGGGGGCGCAGCGCAGGGTGGGGAGTTGCATGAGAATAGGGACCGTGTGGAGGACGTCGAAATTTTGACAGCTTGTTGACATCAAAGGCTCGCAAGATTAGGCAGCCCAGGTATAAAAACTGCCACGCTTCGGAGGACTATCGAGACAAGAAAGGCTGGAGGGAGAAGGAGAAGAAGGAGGACTTGCTCGGAGTTTCTCTTGAGAAGGAAGGAGGGAAGGAGGGAAGGAGAGAGAGAGAGAGAGAGAGAGAGAGAGAGAAGTTTTGCAGAGGGAAAGGAAAGGAAAGGAAAGGAAAGGAAAGGAAAGGAAAGGAAAGGAAAGGAAAGGAAAGGAAAGGAAAGGAGAGGAAAGGAAATCTTCGTTTAGGAGAGAAAGAAAGAGAGAAGGACGAATCTTCTTCCACTGCCAAACCCGCTCCCGAAATGCCTTCCGGAGTCTCATCACCCTTGAAGCGCGCCTGTTGGACTTTGGCGCTCCTCGTCCTGTCTGCCAGCTCCCAGCCTGCCGTTACTGGCTTCTTCCCGCCGCGACCCGAGCAGGCCCCCGCCGCCG